GTCCAAATAAAATAATAAAGGCATTTAAATAAATAGTTTGGGCTTCACCATTATGTTTTCTTGGATGTATTTGGTATGCTTAAACTGTTGGTAGACTTTTAGTTGTAAAAATTTGAATACTTATATGAAGTAGAAGTATTGTTACTTTATAATGCGAATTGGAATAGTTTCTGGATAGATTCTAGAGTTTGCTAAGTTGCATGATAGGGATGATGTTTGCTGTAAAAATGGTTAATAACAAAGTTGTAGAGAATTTGATAAGCTTTCCAGAAAGTCTAGGATCACTGCATTTGGATTAGTAGAACTCCTGTTATGAGTAAAATAAGTAGCTGCTGTTTTGTGATATAGTCGATGCATTGTGGAAGTAGTAATTAAATAATCGAGAAGAGATATGCACCTACTCAATAAACATGATGCCCTTGTTAACATATATGCATTCGTAATACTTATGCCATATTCATGCATCTAGGATCGAAGGAAGAAATAACGTTCCTGGAATTCGACAAAGCAGAGGAAGGGGACCAGCAGGAGAATCCACAGGCCGCAGCTCCCGAAGGCGTGGAGCAGAATCCTGAAGAGCTTCCGAAGTGTCCTGATCACCGCCCTACTTCCTTTCTACGAGGCAAGCCCCAGAGCATTCTAAGTCTCCCAGTATTTTACAAATGATTACTTAAGTACTTATGATTGATGCATTAGGTATAAGAGTTGAATGGAACCACTTGATGCATATACATTCCTTGTCCAGCTATTACACCTTTAACCGGTATAGGTCCAGGATCGAATATATGCTTAGTCATGCTTAGACCGGTAGAAGTCGGGTGATTTCCTGTCACCTGCGAGATATAGGTGGATACCAGAGCACGGTTGGCTATGATTGCTATCGTAGAAAAGAACCATGGTTAAGGTAAATGGAGACCGGGCGGGATGTCGATAGAGAAGCAACAAGACATGGAGGTCTTGGGTGTGGATCTATCCCCGTCTGTGTCGATTAAGGACCGTACCGTTGTTGGCGCTTCTGATAAGATTGAACGCATGCCTCTCACTTAGATGGCCGGATAACTCGTTCCGACCGCGGCCGAGTAATTCAACTCGAGCCAGGACCCGTTACATTGTGCGCTCCTTCCGGGAACGATCGATCGAGCCCAAGGGCGAGCTAGGCTGAACGTCCCGGCATCTGGTGTTCCAGTTGTGCGGCGCGATACGGACGGACCGAAATGTGTACCTGAGTTGTACCAAAGGTGACCTAAGGCTATCGTGGTTTGGTAGACACTGGGTTTGTGTTAGAAATAAATTCCCGGTGGTTGAAATCGATTCGAATCGCCGTCTCTCCCGGATAGTGAGAAACTTGGCTAGTCCCAACATCGTAGTAACTGTGTTATGGAACATGATGGTTCGAATGAATATGGAATTACAATACCTGCTATGGTTACTATTGTATGCTTTTAAATTTATATACCACATGTTTGGCACAGGATAGTTGCTAATCTAGAGATGGATAGTTATAAATAATTGATAAAGGAATCCTAATTGTACAATAAGTCAATTGCTTTTATGCAAAATGTTGTCAAGCTATCTCCACTTATACAGCCTTGCATAATCCTTGGAATCATTTTATTTCTGGTTTATGACGGGTAAGTCTAGCTGAGTACCTTCTTGTACTCAGGGTTTTATTTCCCATGTTGCAGATGGCACTGTGTATCATGGTTATTGCAAGAGTTACTTCTATCCCGCTGTGGATGAGGAGTAAGCCTTGGGCAGGCTTCTTATTAATCCTTCTGCATGCTTTTGTGGACCGTGATCATATTTTGGCATTGTACTAAACTATGTTGGAAACTTTACTTTCAAACTTAATTTGCTTCCGCTTTTATCTATCAAACTCGGTTTGTAATAACTTTTATTCGTACTCTGATGGAGAAATGTATCTGTGAACTTTATGTAATATGTGGCATGTATGTTGAATCATGTACGATCTTGGTTGTTGTAAATCGTTTATCGAGACCCGTCGTGGTACTCGACGGACTACCGGGTTTATATGGGTTCAAGTATGACAGTGCGACCGCTTGCGGGCTGCCATTGTACTTGTACTCTTATAAATTGGTCGGTTCTGCGACATGGGAGGAGCGGCAGCAGCGTGGAGCGAAGTGGTGGCGACGGCGGGGAAAGCAGAGGAGAGCGAGCGCGAGAGGGAGAGAGTGAGCGAGCTGAGAGAGTGAGGTGTGAGTGAGGGGGTACGGTGCGCATTGATGAAGGGCAAGCCCTGTTCAGACATGGTTTTAGGAGCTGTTAGTAAGGTTTGGATGACTAGCTGACTAAATGCTGTTTAGTCTCTGTTAGTAAAGGTGTTTGGCAAAAAAGTTACTAAAAAGGACTAAAAGCTACTAAATTTAGGAGGTGCTAGTAGAACCAAACACCCCTTAATACAGCGCGTTCTCAAGCTAAGCTCGTCGTCCGTCGCTGGTCCTAGGACGTGCCTTGGTTGCTGTCGATGGCTGGCCACCTTGCGGCGCCATGGCCGCCGCAGGACCGTCGCCGTGCGAAGGGGCATGTGCGCTGCTGCTGCCACCGCCGGGGTCTTTCCCGTGCGTGCGCGCGGGCCGCCTCAGTGAAATGGCACCATCTAGATTCCACTGGACATAGACGCACGCAAGCCAACGCATCCACTGCCGCTGCTGCAGTTGTCAAGAGAAGAGAAATACTAGCGGTTTGAAAGGGGAGCCCCCGACGTGAGCACGCGGGCGTTGCGCCGCCGCTGCCGTAAGGCGAGCGTGTGGGAGCACCACCCCGGGCGCTGCAGGCATGCGCGTAGGCCGGGTGAGAGCTCGGCGCTGCCCCGATGCGCCGGCTACGCTCGAGTGCGACCTGCTTACCCTACCCAGCCACGGGAGCAGGCGCGTGGTTGAGCCCTACCGCCGCAGCGGCCGCCGCCTCAGCTGGCCCTCTCCTGATGCACGTGCTCGTGAGCGTGTAATGCGTAGCACCGCCGTTTTATGTGAGAATGGGGGAGGGAAAGAGGAGAAAAGTTAGGGAGCATTTGGTTGCTTTATGGACGTGGCCTGGCTCGCTCCGGCGAAGGAGGCTGCCACCGGCCAGGCTTTGCAGCTGCAAGTACAGATTGTTTGGTACATGTACACATGCAGCCAGGCTCTAAACGGAAGGCATTTGGGGCGTGTTTGCGACCCTGTACCTGGCCGGCCTGGCCAGCCCAACTGGCCTAGGCCTGGGCAGGCCTGCCCCAAGTGGTGCAACAGCTCTTGTTTATACTGTGTACCCAAGTGAGCCAGTTCAGACGAGGTCGTGTTTGTCATCGAAGAGGCAGAAAATTTGAAAGGCTAACCGCCACCAACTACTACACCGAGATAGTGTTTGTCATTTTGGTCGTGGTCGGCCAGGCCCATAACAACAAATAGAAATAGACATGAATGAAAGGAGAATGAGGTTACTCTTTCATAACCGTTACAACAACAAATCAAAGTTTCAGCATGAAATAGTTGGCCTCAGACATGCTAATTTAACAATTCATGGCATTACTGGCTACATGGGATAATCAAAGTCAGTAAAGAAGAACAGAAGCATGGGTCAGTCAAGTTTTGAAGCCAACAAACGAAAAAGTTCACGTAAATGAGATAAGAGGCAGCAAAATGATATGTAGCCAGCTAATGCATCGATCCATTGTGTCATCATTGGCCAAAATACAACATTTAACAGTTTGGCAAGCCGAGAAGGGCAACAAGTTAACAGAAAGCATGTAGCCAGCTAATGTATTCATCCTATTGTGTCATCATCGCCCTAATTAAAACAACAGCTGTGGCACATGAGCAGCTTTGAGTGATGCACCAACTACAACCATAAACAAGATCAAGATGACAACATTTTTGCAAAAAGCCTTACATGCCCTGTGTGAATGAGGATAGATTTCAGAACCTTGACCTGTCACCAGTTCATGGGATGCTAATGCATCCCCATGAGGGGCATGAATTGGTAACAGCAAGGGTTCTTGAGGTACCCTTGCATTAAAATCTCTAAGAGCATCATCATAGTTGTTGTACTTCTGATAGATAGCCCCTTCTTCCCTAAGCACTTGCTTAACACACTCATACCATGTAAAATAAATCCCAGGTTTCTTCCCTTCAAAGACCACATAGCAGGGAGGCATTCTCTGAAACCAACCAAATGTAGAACATGTAAGTGGTCTGAATGACATGCCTCAGTCGACCATTCAGTTTGAATGATGGTGAACATCATCGGCAACTTGATAAAAAAATTAGCCTCAGCTGTTATTTTCCTTGTTTAGTCATTGGTGGCTACCAAGAATTGTAAGAACCAAATAAAGAGGCAAATAAACAACAGTTGCACTCACTGCCATCAGCCATCACAAGAGGATGTTGTTGCTGTGGAGTACAACTGAGCATAAGTGTAGAATGGAAGGATAGGCAAATAAAGAAGAAAGCACAACAACAAAACCATCAAAACAAGAATAAGGTAGCCACCTCAAGTTTGTTTTATGCATCATAGGCCTTTAAATCCCACAGTTACCACCAGAGGCATAAACAACAAAAATAGGCAACTAGTTATCAAATAAAAAGTAGCCAACAGAGGCTACAAATAAGTTTCTTACAATACCAAGTTGAGCCCAACAGCCAAGGGCTCAAATGTTCCCAAATCCTTGCCTATTGTTAGCCACCCTCCTAGGCAAACTACACCATCAAGATCAGGTGTCAAAAGAACAAGCAGACTGCACAAAAGGTCCTGTTGTCAAAAGAAGAGAGAGTGGGTGAGGGGGGTGGAGGAACTATACATCTCTACAGCCAACCCCCTCCTGGCCTTCTAGCCCTTCATGTGTAGTGGAACTACACATAGTAGTTTTTGGCCAGGAAGGTCCTAAGCCAAAGGGCCCTGTGGGCATCACTCATGTTCACAAAGCCCCTGCCTTGATGGTGAGGGAGAATGTACGGACGTGCTGGAAGGACTGCATCATTTGGAACTCGCCGGTGATGAACACCATGGTGTTCATAACCAGCGAGTTACAGGTGATGCAGTCCTTCCTCCACGTCGCCAACAAGGAGCATGCAGCGAATGATAAGGTGGCGCTAACCTTGGGGAGGCAGTTCCGCACCGTAGCCTTCGACGTCGAGGACTGCGTCGAGTACGTCATCGAATTTGGACATAAGTATAGCAAGATGACCGGAATCCTCACTTATTCAACTTTCCTTTACCTCAGATTTGGGTGTATATGCAACAAGACGTCAAGACCTCCCTAGGTATGTTTTTTGACATTACTGGCTTAACCCTGCCAATCTCCTTAGCATCTTGAAACAGCAAATCTCGAGTTCACAGCATACCTCACATAGTGCTGGTTGCAAGATTCCTCAAGTGTGTGGTCTACTGGGTGAGAAATCGGCGATGGTAACCAGCTACCATGGTTTTCACTGCTGGATCATAGGCTGACCTGATGATGAAAACAATTTTCACCACCGGCTTTTTGCCTCACTGCGCCCCGCCAGCTTTGCAACCCCGCGGTAAAAATTATGATAACCGATTCCCACAAAACCGACGGTGAAAGTGTTTTATATAGTAGTGAAGTGAATTTTGACTGAGCAGAAAGATGGGTACCTGTATTGGATACTATTGCAGACCGGATTATTTTATTTGATGATCTGTGCCAAAATAAGTTTGTGGAAAATGTTTTGAAGTCGTTAGAGATTGTCTAGGCTGAGCGCCATCTAGCCGTCACTTAAGGTCTCTTTTCACGTGCTTGTTAGAAGTTTTTAAACAGCTAGTACAATGTTTTAAATATGTCAATTTGTCATGTTTTGATCAGGACCTAGCAGGGCTCTTATGTTTTGGGTCTTCCTATATATCTTTTTTCATTATTCTTGTAAAATTGAAAACCAAAGGAAAACGTTGGCTTTAAAAGAAATGATGAAAATATGGGCAGGCATCCTAATTGGATTGAGAGAATTTGCTATAAAAGAGCTCCTTACACACAACAGGGAAGTATGTGTAGGTGTGCCTATTTCAGCTGGAAAAAAGAAACACGGCACCAATAAAAGCAGCAGTTAGAAAAAGGATGCACCAGGAATCATACATATACTACACTAGAAGACATCAGTACATCACAAGATCCACTACATTAGCAAACAACTATATCTGGAAATTGTATTTTAAATTCCTAAATGTTATAACTATAAAGTAAGAATGTATAACTAAAATGTAAGCAGGCATGAACTTTCTTATAACCATATTGTTTCCGCAGAAGGATTAAATGGAAATTGCACACCAGAGCAGAGGAAGATTGTTGCAGGAAACTCGAGCATGCGAGAGATCTGCTATAAACAGAGAGTAATGAAATGGACAGCTAGCAATTTCCATTTTGCCATGTAAGGATCAAATGAAGTTGTACAGCAGAACACACGAAGATCACTGAAGTATGTAGACAATTCCTTTTTTTTGTGAATCAGTCTGTCAGTTCCAGGCTACCAGCATGTGGCAAAATTAGTAATGAGCAGAGGAGGTTACCTGTCTGCCAATTCCAGCAATGAGGCCGATGGCCTGCAGCCAAGCACAGCACCAAGATGCCAACGGACCCTAGACTGCACCAGCCAAATGAGCAGCCCAGAAATAAACAGAACCAATGGTCTGCTCTCAAAAAGAAAAACTATGTTAGTATTCAGTTGCAAACATATGTGATCAGAAACAAACAGAAAAGCCTGTGAATTATAAAGATGCAAATCACACTACGCCCGTGCTAACAGCAGCTTATTGGAGTAAGCCACCTATTCACATTCTTTATCTCCAACGGATATAGATTTGGGAGGTAATCACATTCTTTTCATCCTATCATCAATTAGCTGAAAGTAATTGTACAGAAATAACCAGAGTAAATTTCTGATCTCTAGTTGTTACTCTGCAATGCTCTAGTCTACCCCATTTTCAGTTGAGGAGATGACTCGTCTACCCCATTTTAATTATGCACACTACTGATCCAAAAGACTATTGCCATGAAACCATTTTATTTTATTGACAAATCCAAAATATGGATTCTTTTCCATCTAAATGAATCAAAGATTAGAGACATGCCAGTATCAACCTCAGTCTGACAGAGTTCCAAATTGGCAATCAATTTTTTTCAAAAGGAAACACTACTACGGTGCCCTTTTATTAACGGAGGCGGTCACAGAATCCAACCACATCGGTTAATGCGTACGATTAACAGAGGCGGACACTTTTTATTTACCGAGGCGGGCACGTTTGTCCCCCTCGTAAAATCGATTTATGGAGGCGGGCAACTTAAGACGACCGCCTCGTATTTTTGGAGGCGGTCGTCTTAAGTTGCCCGCCTCCATAAATCGATTTTTGGAGGCGGGCACGCTATAAAGCCCGCCCCTAAAATGCTAGAGCCCGGCCAAAGCCCACGACCCACTCTCTACTGGGCTCATATAAATTTGGGAGATAGGGTTTCCAACCCCTCACTCCCTCAGCTCGCACCGCTCGATCCTCCCGGCGCGCCTCTCGCTCCTCTCGACGCGCCGCATGCTCGTCCCCTCTCTCCACGGCGCTCTCTCCCTCCCTCCACTCTCTCCCTCCCTCACGCAGTAGGTCGACGAGCCTCCCCTCCCCCTGCGCGCCTCCTCCCCCATGCAGCAGGCCGGCACGCCTTCCCCTCCCCTCCCCTCCCTCCCTCTTCGCAGCGGTCGATGGCAATGGTGGCCGGTGGCTCTCTCTCTCTCGCCAGAGGCCGGATCCCTGTGGTGAGGGCAGATCTGGACGGTGTGGGTAGATCCGGGCAGCGAAGGGTGGCGGCGGACCTCTCCAAGCGGCGAGCACGCGGTGAAGGCTCTCCGAGCGACAAAATCCGTGGGATCCACGATGGCGGGATCTGTGGGATCCACGACGGTGCAGAGCTCGATCCCTCCACGGGATCCAAGGCTGGATCCGCGGGATCCGGATCCGCGGCGGTAGGATCCAAGGCCGGATCCACGGCGGCGGGATCTGTGTGATCCACGGCGGCGTGGCACTACCTTCCTCTGCTTGGAAACACGACGGCGCTCCCTTCCTCCCTCGAATCCACGGCGGAGCACTCGATCCGGCCCTCCGGCGATGCGGTGTGGACACCCTCCCTCTGTCGACGCGGCGGGCTCGCGCTCGAGGCCGGATCTGGCTCGGTGGCGCGACGCGAGGCTTCGGCGGCGCCGCATGGCATGCTCATACTCGGGAGCTGCGGATTTGGCGCGTGACGAGCGGCGGCGGCGCACGCGTGGATGAACTCAGCGGGCTCGTCGATGGGCTCAACAGGCCTCACCGACAGGCTTGCTGATTTTTATTTTATTTTTTAATTGATTAACTGAGGCGGGCATATCAACCGCCTCGGCAGTTCACGTGATTTACTGAGGCCTTTGAATGGAGACGGTTGCGTTGCCCGCCTCCATAAATCTGAAATGCCCGCCTCCAATAAGATTTGTGTAGTAGTGAAAGTAGCATTCACATCAGCAAACATAAAAATGGATAGGTCCATATTTTGACAATGCACCATGTCAACTTGTGTACATTGCAGTAAATAAAGCAGCTGATGCAAAAATTAAGTGACTACAGCTACTCACAAGTTGGTTCCATAGAATTCAGCAATTCTTTCTTTCGAATATTCAAAGCTACCAATCACTCCGTTACTATATTTTATTCACCAACATAACCTTCTACATTTTTTTTGTTTTCAGCAAAATCCATTTTCTCACGCTTAGTTACCTATGTGACTGCAATTAGAAAGTCATAAGTATAATGAGGATTCAGATTATGAAATTGAAAAATAGCATAAACAACCATGTCGAAGGCTGCAGCGGCGCCGACGACCGGACTGCATACAGAGAGAAGCGCAGCGTCCTTCAAATCCAGGAGGCCAGGGCGTTGCTGAGTCCGAGCTTGCACGCCGCACCTTCGAGGACTCCATGCGTTGGTGGATCAAGGCTACCATTGCCAGCGCTGCTGCAGAGGAGGCCGCCGCTGCCCGCACTGCAGAGAAGGACGCCGGGATCTACTCCATTTAGCATTTAGTACTCGGAAATTGGGAAGCAATCAAGCAAAGCTCAAAACTGGAGAACTGGATTCGATTTAGCACTCATGGATTCACCGGTCACCACTCCAGCAGCCAGCAGGATGGATTGGATTGGGCCATTGGGGATTTGATTTGAGAGTTGAGACTGGAGATGGAGAGCAGGGCAGCCGTACATACTCAGGGATGGAAGGGAAGGAAGCAGGACGGGGATGGAAGGAAAGAGAACGAGTACCTGCTCGTGTACGCTCGGGAGAGGGAACGGCGGCTGCGACGACGGGGTGGGCACGACAGCTGCGGAGGCTTGGGCGAGCACAGCTGACCGGACGACGGCCGCAGCGCCGGGGATGGCAGCCGCGACGGTGGGAACGGCGGCTTCTACGGCGAGCACGACGGCCGCGGCAGGGATGGCCCCCCCGCGAGCTAAGTTCGTGAGCGGCGTGTTGAGTTCGAGTCCACGAGATTGAGAGGGATGGCAGCTGGGGTGGGTTGGTGCTAGAGATAGGGTTTTGGGTGACACTATGACAGGTGGGCCACGCAAATTTTGCTATAGCGACCAATCGTTAGACCTTAATATGTATTTTTAGTAACCGATTGTCCGAGGAAACTGCAGAATATATACACCAACCGATTATCGCTCGGTACAAGGAAAAATAGCGACCAATACTCCGTTAGAAATTGATAGCGACCAATTGTTGGTTGTTAATACTATGTTTTAGCGACTGTTGTCCGATGCTAATTGTTGGCTGTGGTATAGTGACTGTGAAGGTGTTGATGGGTCGGGCAGCACGTTTGTTAGGATTGAAATGATGCAGGCATGCTGCTCTTACATGTTCATACTGTATTATGTGCAAGTGGCTGCTCGCATGCGGTGCGCTGAATTGCCGCAGTGCTGCCTTCCATATCTTCTGCAGCATCGGCTTCTTTATTATTCATGTATTGTAGCTAAAGCAGGTGAAGCCGATGAAAGTTGAGTTTTTGGCAGACCTCACTACAACAATAGTAGAAGACAGCGCATGTGTCAGCATATAGCTCTTCACTGCACTGTTCCTGCTGGCCACCTATAGTACAACAATAGTAGAAAGTTTGTGAAACAAAAACAATATCACCAGGGAATTTACAGTAAGCTGATTGTTTGTTTTCATCAAAATGTGCTTCCATTTGTTTTCTATTTCTTGAGAACTAACTCCACTGAGAATGAATGAAATGATTAAT